GGGGGGGGGGGGGCAGGTAAACTAAAAGCCATATATAAGCTTGCTCTATAAACTCAGGCAATGTTGTCCTTGATTTGCTCTACAACTGAAATAAAGGATGGCGCTTTAAAAACGGATCCTACGTTGTACCGGAGATTAGTCTTGAAACGTAAAGATGAAACAAAGTTGTTAAGAGATTTGATTCTTATTAGATGTACGTGCCACGCTTTTAGAAAATCAAAAACGATCACCAAATAAATTCGATGTTCATATCGAGCTCCCTTACATTACGTACATATATCACGGTGCTTTAATATTTGTAGATGAATTAATACCTCAATTGCAACTAAAAAATTAATGCCTCAATTGAATAGCACGTAAGTAAAAAACTTCGGTGACCAGTCGGAGCTTATATCTTTCTAAGAAAAGGGAAAGTTTGAAAATGTTTAAATAACGAAATTTATATGCAAGATAGTGGGGTGTTGATATAAATACAGCATGAGAGTAAACCATTATTTATTAGTATCTCCGATTTACTATTATGACAAAAAAAGGTTATGACTTTTATTTATAGCACTTTAATGTACAGTTCTATATATTTTCTCTTGGGTGTAGTTATATTTCTAATATGACTCAAATAAAAATGAAACGTAACAGGCATGGAGTGTCATTGAAATAAATAAGTAACAAGTGAAGGCCCATAAACCATAAACACTCACCTCTCAGTGTCAATGGTCCCAAATCCCTTTAACTGTATTTATTAATGCCTTGATTTGTCGTATATTAACATCTTTCCATATCTGCCTCAACATGTTGATAGTGTAAAATGTTTATTCAATATAGACATTAAGTAATCCGCATACTTATTTATTTATTTTGGACACATCTGGATCGGATATTACTTTTAGTCACTAATGGTGTCCCATGAGATGTCCATCTCATTTGTGTAAAGACTAAGAGAGAACTTAGCACTAAACTTCAAAAACGTATGGTTGAAATTATAGACGGACTTCTTGTGGTAATATAGGTCCTACAGTGTAGACAATAGTCAATGAATCAATACAATTCTTTGCTGATATATCATACAAGTGGTGTCGTTGACTAACATCTAAGACTTATGGAGGTTTTTGGGCCAACCAAACACATATGGGCTCAGTGTTAATGGGCCTACACTACAATCTATACGGGCCTATGACTGAATCACGTGTCATGATCTCCATGGGCATCTGCCGCCATTTGACAATGAGAGATTGAAAGTGCAAAAAGCTTTAAGACCGAAGTGTGACGCAAGATTTGGTCGGAATAAATAGTAACGAACAGTTTTGAGATTCGAAGATACATACATGGAGGTCAAAGAGAAGGTCAGAATCGTAATTACCGTAGCCTCTCTTGTGGCGGCGACAGTTCTGCTCGTGGCGGAGTATCGGCGGCGCCGCCACGGGAGGAAGCAGACATCTTCTCTGAGCTCGTGTTATCTACATTCCGAGACCAAACCACAGTTCAGTTTCAAACGAGTTCTTGCGGACAACTCTTACTCTGGTTTCAAACACTTGAAGAAGCTTGACGATGTGTCTTCTTCTTCCTCCATAGGTTGGATTTGATTATTGCATGTGGTTTTGTGTGTTTTTGATTTGTAATGTTTGAGTTTGAAACCAATGCAGAGAAACCTAACAATTATCATCCGTATGAAACTGAGATCAATGTCTTGTTAGAGAATCCTCGTCTTGAGTTATTGAGAGGAGAGTATTCACTAGAGATGAGTGATTCTTACGTGTGGGTTGAGACAGAGTCTGAGTTGAAGAAGCTTGCAGAGACTTTGGCTAAAGAAAAGGTCTTTGCAGTTGATACTGAACAACATAGTTTGCGGTCGTTTCTTGGTTTCACTGCTTTGATTCAGGTAACTGTTATAGATCGTTTCTTAGATTTGATGTTAGGATTTTTTTGATATATTGATTTTGCAGATTTCTACACAAGAGGAGGATTTTTTGGTGGATACGATTGCATTACATGATGCAATGAGTATACTTCGTCCTGTTTTCTCCAATCCTGATATTTGCAAGGTTCCATTAAGATGTTTATTCATTGTTGGAATCTATTAGCTTAAATTATTTCAGAATTTTGGATTTTTTAAAACAAATATTTTTGATGTGCTTTTTAGGTGTTTCATGGAGCTGACAATGATATTCTATGGCTTCAGAGAGACTTCCATATATATGTTGTTAACATGTTTGATACTGCCAAGGTACACCTTTCTATGTCCTCCTGCACTACTTAGGATGAAGTTTTGTTGTTGTTTTCTGAAAGTAAAATGTTTTTGTAGGCGTGTGAGGTATTGTCAAAGCCTCAAAGGTCACTAGCATACTTGCTTGAGACAGTCTGTGGAGTAACTACTAACAAATTGCTTCAGGTTAGTCATTTAACATTAAGGGTTAGTATGTGTATATATTTTCATTATCTATTCTTATCTTTGCTAAACTTATGAAGCGTGAAGACTGGAGACAACGTCCACTGTCCGAAGAGATGGTGCAATATGCTAGAACAGATGCACACTATCTACTCTATATTGCTGATAAGTTGACTTCTGAGCTCACACAGCGAGGCACTGGTAGGCATCTTTCACTATGGAACATCATTTTTTGTATATGATATCAAAGTAGGGCTAGCTCGGAGATAATGTCAACTATAATTCAAGAATAACATGATTTTAAAGAACCATATTCTAAAATATTTAATGTATCAGAAGAATCATCTAACCCGGATGACAAGTTCAGTTTTCTACTCGAGGCTAGTAGACGGTCAAACACGATATGTTTACAATTGTACACTAAAGAAACCGAAGATTTTCCTGGGAATTCTGCTGCTTCCTCGTTAATTCATCGTCATTTAAACGGCCATGGAGATAGTTCTTCCATCTCCTTGGATGCAAAGGTAGGCCTTACTCTTCCCCATTATGTGTATTAGATATCAAAGCATGGTGTTGATGTTCGCCTTTCAGTTTCAGGAGCTTGTAAGGGAACTTTGTGCATGGAGAGACTTAATGGTAAGTTAAAGATGTTGTTGCTGCAAGACATTTTCCCTTGTTGTAATGCCAAAAAAACTTATCTCTTTTTCTTTCAGGCAAGAATTCATGATGAAAGCACTCGATATGTTCTGTCAGACCAAGCTATTGTTGCTCTTGCCAGTAAGCAGCCAACAACAACTGATGAAGTATATGATTCGATAGCTCAAGCAGATTTGTCTACAGAGTCTATTCAATCTCCATCTGCTGTTATTTGTAGTCATTTGGATGATGTCTATCAAATGACTCAGGACAAGTTAGATAAGCTGGATGCTCTTTTACCACTAGTTCTTGAGAAATGTTTGGGTACAGACGGAACATGTCCAGTTTCTGTCTTCAACTACACACTTCTGATAAACTTCAAGACAAAGCTCGGCGTCCACTCTACTCCCAAGCAAAATGGACATAAAAATAACTTCAAGCAAATCACTCGGAAGTCATCAAGAGATCTTTTTGTCAAGAAGTTTTCATGCAAGGCTCCGGTTTACCACAACTGTAGCATATACGCAAATGATGGACGGTTGCTATGCTATTGCGATAGAAAAAAACTTGAATGGTATATGAGTCGTGGTCTTGCGAAGCTAGTTGAAGAAGAACCACCTGCGATAATGCTTCTGTTCGAACCTAAAGGACGTCCAGAAGATGAAGGAAATGATTTCTATATTCAGACCAAGAAGAACATTTGTGTTGGATGTGGAGAAGGGAATCACTATCTGCGTTACCGGATAATACCTTCTTGCTACAGAGTTCATTTTCCAGAGCACTTAAAGAGTCACAGGTCTCATGATATAGTTCTACTCTGTGTGGATTGTCATGAAGTTGCGCACGCTTCTGCAGAGAGGTACAAGAAACAAGTCGCTAGAGAGTTTGGCATCCCTCTTTTTGTTCGCAGAGTAGTGGATTCAAAAGAAACACAAGGGGGAGCATCTTCCGTGGAGTGTGATGAGTCAACGAGTAACGTTGAGGATGTTGGTGTCTCTCCATTACATCTCAGAACAGCTGCGATGGCGCTCTTGCGACATGGGAACAGAATGCCATCTAGTCGCCGTGAGGAGTTGTTGCAGGTAATGAAATGGATCATCATTCTTATTATTTCAAGCTATTGATATAACAAATATTTCTTGGATTTTGAATGTAGACTGTAAAGATGTATTACGGTGGAAGGGACATATCTGAAGAAGATTTGGAAAGAGCTTTACTCATTGGGTTGAGCCCTCATGAGAGACGAAAACTCGAAAGAAAGAAAAGTGTATCTCTCAAATATTCTACAGAGGTTGCTCATATGGACAAACAAGGAAACAGTAGCAATGGTAATCATATAATAAAGGCTAATGCATAATTGTCTATTGTTGTATTTGTCACAGATACTGATGCAAACAGTTTTGTATCTTCTTCAGTTGGAGAACATGGTGAGGAAGCTCGTGGAGATTCCGAGGAAGTTATGAATGAAGAAAGTAAGATAGTTGGAGATAATAGTGGAGGAGATGGAGCTTCAGAGCTAAATGACACTCAGTGTAATGGAAATACGCACCAACAGGACTCGAAACTCTCCTTGTTAGGACATGGACCACACGGGAAACAGGTAGTGGAGTATCTCTTAAGGGAACATGGAGAGGATGGTGTTCGGGATTTTTGTCAAAGATGGAGACAAGTGTTTGTTGATACTGTTCATCCTCGCCATTTGCCTGGTGGGTGGAATGTTAGTCACAGGTAACCGCAATACTCAAAAACCACAGTTGCCTTTACTCGCTCGCGGATTTTATATCACATCTGGTTAACTTAAGACACAGACAACTTTGGTGTCATAATCAAATTTGTTTGGACCTTGTTCTTTACAAGGGTTTGATTATTTTTGTTACCAGTGGCCGAAGAGACTTTGGCGAATTCAGCGTTTATAATCCCTCAAAGAAACACTCCACCGGGTAACTCAACCTTGTAGCTCTGTTACAAGGTCTGTTCCTGTTATATCTCTGTTCTTTTTGCCAATTTTGTCATCAATCACTAAACAACTCTGTTCAGTTGCTTGTTGAATTCTTTTGTAATCCTCTGCACTCTGTTCAAGTGAAAAATCTGGTCTTTGACCTTATTTTGAGACAATAGCATGATTTTGCCTTACCAATCAGTAAGAAATATGGGTAATATGTAATACGAGCTCTTCGGTTTTAAACCGCGGCTCAAGAATCAAAAGATACATTTCATCAGGAATTCCAAATTGTTATATGGAGAAATGAAACTCTAATCAGTCTGGTGCATGACATAAATGAAAACTCCAAACTGTATTTAAAGTACTTTTTCAACTCGAGTTGCCGATGAAAGTACAGTTGAAGTTGTCTGTAGCCACCAGTGTCTCTAAGAATCTTCTATAATGTCAATAACTGAGAATTGTGATCAATGCCGTTGAAAACGTAAGTTCCCAACATTGGAACAAACTGCTTCGTGATGAGCTGCAAAACATTTGAAAAACATAAAAGGTTAGGTTAGCTTTAAAACCACACATTTGATACTATAATGAATACATCTTGAGAGACAGGGATATAAACCGAACCTTGATTGCTTCTTGAGATGCGATTCCTCCAACGAAAGCAGCAACCACATGAAGCTCTGCAGCGCCAAATCTGCACATCTCACTGCAAAGTGCTTCCGGAAGTTCATAGCCGTCACAACCCATTTCGCTAATAAGACCCAGGGCAGTAGTTCGTAACAGAGATGCGTCCTCTTCTATATCTCCACTGTAAAATCGATATGTTAATAATAGCGTGTCAACGCCAAATTGCTCAGGATAAAATATTAACTCTTACCCATCAAAATGTCCAGGAAACTTATTATAGGTCGCAGCAAATCTATCAACAGCTCTAAGAAGAATATAAAATCCAATTGCGCTACTGCAAGAGGTAAACACAAAAAGTGGTAAGAGCCTCCAAAGCTAACAACAACATACTCCTCCAGTACTATATCTATCAGTGTCTATGTCATACGGAAAAGATCAATTTCGACAAAGACATTCGCACCTGTAATCCTCACTAGCCAAACACTTATGTAGTTCTGTTACAGAGGGATTGCTGAACTCATCCTCTATCGTACGATATCTGCATACCTACAAGTTTCATATCCCAATGCTTTTTACTCTATTAAACCGGTTTTAATCACACAACAACAGTACAAGAAGTTAAAGCAATCTCACCTTAAGTTTTCTTGCATTCTTACAAAAGCTCTTGATAGTTTGTTTTGAGATACTACTTGGATCTAGACCAAGTTTAACTAGGATGTCTTTCACTCTTTGCTCCATGGATAAAAAATCAGCTTCAGCTTTTGTTTGGTAGATTTTCTGCAAGTTGATGTAGTGCCTGCAAAAGATAAAATACAGCTACATATTAATTTGATAAAGGTAAGGATTAATATCATCTCTCCCCTGAAACGAAAGGACAGGAGAACTAACTCTGTGGAAGATGTCATATCGGGCATGGAACCTTCAAGTGGTGCCTCACCATCACCTTCATTTGAAATAAACTCCTGCAGGTGACGAATACAAGTAACAGGGTAAGTATTCATATCCATGAGAAGCAAAAGAAACGAATATATATCCGAGAATTAATCTAATAAACTAAAATCAAACACACACGTTCTCAATTATATTAAAGTTACCAACCTTGAGTGCTGCTACCATTACCCAAAAAGCTGAGGAGTTTGAGTCAACTTCAGCACTACGATCATGAATAATTTCTTGAATCTCTTTGCCTGGATTAAAAAAAAAGAAGAAAAAACAGGGTTGGTTCGATGTGAGAAATATAGAAACGGGACTCGGAAAGCTTTTTCTTGTAACTACTAAAACACTGACTTCACATATTTACTCTAATATTAAATGCTATATTATGAATATGTATCAAGAGGCATATGGAATATGATTAGCAATCAATCATGTCATGAAGATAGTTGGAAGTCTTTTACTTGGTTCTTCTTTGTCCTACCAGTTTCATTATATCCAACATATATTGTAAAGAAACGGTAGATTTAATGGCAAGGAAGATGTATACTCACTGATTCCTCGAGGAGCAAAAACTTTGAAAGTGGCTTCAACAGCTTCTTTGTAGTTATCTTCATCCATCGATACCATCTTGGACTTAACTAAATCCTAAGATTTAATAGGGAAAAAGAAATAAATTAGAACAGGGACTCACAAGACAGGTAAATCTTGCTAACTGTTTGCTGAGTTACAGGAAGTACAGATACCTTAAACTCCCTTTTCTCTTCCCTGGTCGAGGGAAGGTTGTTGCTATGGGTTTTAGCCCATTCATCAGCCATCTTAACAAGAATGACCACGTAAGGAATGTGCTTATGAGCGATGGGATCTGGTGTGTTTAGATCAATGGTCTCCACAAACCTGTCGGTCAACTCAGAAGGTTAGAGGCATAGAGGAAGCCAAAACAACATAAGACCACAAGCAGTGTACCTCTTGAGTTCAGGCCAGGGATTATTCAAGCGAAGGTCATCAAGAAAATGATCAGGCTTTGAATCGATAATGGTGTGCTCCTGATAACCAAGAAGGGATACGACTTAGCAGACTAACCATGAAAAATCCCAACACTTGACCACAAGAGAGCAATCCATTGTTTTAGAAAAAAATATTTGGGTTAGACAGATAGATAATCTTACCTTAACACTGACACGAACAAGGCCAGTAAGGCCATAGGAGCGAGCAAAAACCAGCATGACATTTGCTTCTCGGCAGATTCTATCCAGCTTCACCATTGAGTCTTCCACAAGCTACAATCAACACATGGCCAAAACTAATAAGGATATCTATTACAATTCTGAAACAAAGTCTCCTCGTCGAAACTATCATGCATCCTAATCCTAAAGATAAAATCTTTGACTTAACATAAAGAAAGAAAGTATACACCAGTGCCCTCTCTGATACAGAATACAAACCCTCACTGAGAGAGCCCAAAGAATGTATCCTAGCGATTAACCATCAAAAACGAAAACTTTGCAGTCTAAACTGCACACACTTTCTTGTAAGACAAGATCAAACATGCTTGAGGATCAAGAACACTTCTTTTAATTCGTTACCTGAGTAGCAATAACAAGAGTGAACTGAGAGAAGAAAGACGGGTCTGTAACTATCAAAGAATCCGGATTCTCCTCAACAAAGTTGGCCTTCACAGCATCATTAAGCTCCTGAAGAAAAGCACAGACAGACTTGGCTTTTGACTCACCAACACTCTTCGCATCCACTATTATCAAAACATAAACCAATCATCAAATAAACATTGCTGCGTTGTAAGGGAGATAATTAAGAGTAAATTATACCCATGAAGTTGTTGCCAAGGTCTCCAATCTCAACTTTGGATCCGTCAACGACGGTGATGCTTCCGATTCCACCAAGAACGAGATTCTTTAGAGCTTCTGAGCCAGTTGGGCCACAATTGAGCAAACAGATGCTCGCGTTTTCAAGAGCCGCTTGGCCTACTTCTCCCCAAATCCTGCGATTAGGGGAGGGGAAAGGTCAAGACTTTGAACGATCGGAAGCTGAAGAAACAGAGGAGGAAACAGAGGAGAAGAGGGTTACCTGAGTTGACGATCGTACTTGGTTTTCGACATTGTTGGTTCTTGCTTCTCCCGCTTGCGTCTCAGCTAGAGCTACAGAGAGACAAGAGAGAAAGGAGACGCAAAGAGGTATAGGGAGCAAGAAGAAAAGACAAGGGTTGGGGCTTTATGAGAATCTGTCTTTGCCAAGTTGCCTCTTTTCTTTTCTTAGTTCGGTAAACTAATCAAAATATAGGTAACATATTCACAAAATAGCATATATATCATTTATAAATATATATGTGTATATATATTAGCTAAGAAAATCTATGATTTAGATCCTAGTTTTTATAATTGCTAGATGTTTCACTAATTGCAACACCACCATCTGTCAATTTTACATGAAACACATCAAAAATATCTACTAGCATAGGTCCAAAAGTAAATAAAAATCTCTTTAACATTTTACATTAATGGTAAACATTTTGTTGAAATAATTGGTATCTAGGAAAAAAAAATACACATCAAATTAAATATTATTGGAGTGAAAAAATCTCATCAATTGAAATAATAATTTATTTTACTTAGATAACAGTTTTATGGAATTTCCACTGCATTTTTTTTCCTTACCAAGTGACATCTTATCTGCTTAATTAGAAAAAAATATAAAATTAGCATAAAATAAAATATTGAGGATTATGTCAACACTAGAGTTGATGGTATTTTGGTAAAATAGCTTAAGAAAAACCTTGAAAGAAAAAGAATGATTAACACATGTCAATTATAATTTTTGTATGGGTAATAATTTTAATTAAATT